GAGAAGCAGAGAGGAGGGTAACAGTGAGTACCTGTTGTGCTCTCGGACAGAATTGATCATATCTGCTTCACCATATTAGTCAATCTAATCTAGATTAAATTGTCTTTTGTTTGATCTGTCAATGCTGTTCTTAGGTTCAAAGCAAATGTAGGAAGAACAGTTCCCCCAATAATGGGTAAGAATGCTAGCTGCGTTAATTTTTTTCTTGTGGTACATTTTTGGTGCATTTCTTTATATGACATACAGCAACACTTGCATGCTATTATTTTTTACACTTAAGTTTTTTTTTCCTACATAGCAGATGGTCAGAATATTGATAAATGTCCCCATATAGTATGTTGGAAGGTGTGTGTGTGTGTGTGTGTGTGTGTGTGTGTGTATATAATGTTGGAGGCTATGATTTTATTGTATGATTCTTTATAGCTTTATTATATATGTAGGGCGTATCAAAAGTCAAACCCTATAGGAAATTTATTAAATAAATTGCATTACATGTTTAAATTGGTTGCCATTTTCTTCTAAACTTTTCCTTATTTGCTTGATGCAAGCCCATTGAACATTCCTAAGTACAGTAACATTCTCTCTGATGGTTGCAAATTGTGATGTGATGGTCTCCTTTAGATCATCTGTTGGCTTATGGGACTTGACTTTTGGTCCACCCTGTATTTGAGTTTCACTCTTTCTTTATGTGTGTGGGATTGATTAGGACTTTCTCTTCATCTCTCTATCCCTGTGGCTTCAACATTTTAGAAAAAGGTTGTATCTCTTCAATTTCTGTTTCGTCACTATTAAGTGCCTCTCTGACATTCTAGGACTGAGACACAATTTATTAGATAATTAGTTTTTCTAGTCCAGCATTGGGCCCTGACACCTACCACCTAGGAACCTTTACATTTGCTTTAAAGAAGAAATAGAGCATGTCAATGAAACCTCTGTCTAGATCTGCAGATAGGAAACTTTGTGAGACTGTAGAGAGTAAACAGGATGACCTTGGCAAAGAGAGGGGAGATTTGTTACGAAGGCAATGAGTAGATAAATATTGCTTAAACCCACACAAGGGGAGAGAGTAATCTGTTACTATTGCCTGTCTTCCTACGATTGTCCATACTTCTATCAGTAAAAGTAGTTTTAGCCTATGTGGCATCTGTTTCTTGGTCTATCCCAGTGGTGGCGAACCTATGGCACGAGTGCCAGAGGCGGCACTCGGAGCCCTCTCTGTGGGCACGCGTGCTGTCTCCCCAGCCCCGCCTCCCCCCATGGCCCCCTCCTCACCAGCAGCCCCCCCAGAGGAGAATTGCCCCTGGGCGCGGCCTGCACAGAGCAGCGCAGCCAAGGACATGGCAGCTAGGCAGCAGGGACAAGACTCTGCCCTTGCACGCAGATGATGTTGCAGGGTGCGGGCAGAGGGCGTGGCTGCCATGGCGCTGCAGGGCCGCCTGGGTGATGTGGGGCAGGCCATGGAGGCGGTGGGTGGCCCTGTGGGGGGGCAGGGCAGGGCAGGGGGGGGGTGGGTGGGGGCAGAGCAGGCAAGGCGGGAGGCAGAGTGGGGGGCGGGTTTTGGGCACTCGGTCTCTAAAAGGTTCACCATCACTGGTCTATCCTATAGGGCTGACCAAGGCTCTGAGGCATAACTACCAAGAGTTTGTACAATATCTGAAACCCTTGAATGAATCATCTGGATGAGAGAGATGCTATTTTTCAATACTCCTTATATCCAACTCAGAAAAATTCTTTATGAGGATACCATGTATACTGGGAATCATTATAAGATCCAAAAGAATCAGGAATTTCAGATCCCAAGGTGAACAGGGCAGTATCTATTTCAGACCAGGCCTGAAACATGATGGAAATGCAGCTGTAGTTAGTTGTTATTCATTAGGTTGCAGATTAGAACATTCTACCTTGGTCTGACTGATTTTCATCCCCTAACTTCTGAGATTTTATTTTCATCATTTTTACAGCCCAGTTTTAATGGCAAAGAACTTTCTTCTCCAATAGTTCCATCATATTTATAACAGAAGAGAATGAACCCCCAAAGATTTAGCATTTTAAAAATTTGTGTTAGAAAATATGCCTGTAATTTTGCTGAAGAGCTGAAAATTCATTTTATGGCTCTATTTTGGAGCTATTTATTATTAATAAAAAGTGGTATGTGACAGGAAGAGGCAACATTTTAAGTAGCACTGAAAAGCTTTGAGTAACTACCAGATACTTAATTTTACAGACATAGAGAAGCATTCACTTGCTCAGTTGTGGCCAGCTACTATTTCTCAGACATTTGGTCAATACAGGTCGTCCTCAACTTACGACCACAATTGAGCCCAGAATTTATGTTGCTTAGTGACACATTTGTTGAGTTTCGCCCCATTTTACGACTTTTCTTGCCACAATTGTTAAGTGAATCACTGCAGTTGTTAAAATTAGTAACACGATTGTTAAGTGAATCTGGCTTCCCCATTGACTTTGCTTGTCAGAAGGTGGCAAAAGATGATCACATGGACCCTGGCACACTGCAACCGTCATAAATGTGAACCAGTTGTCAAGCATCCCCCATGGGGATGTTGCAATGATCATAGTGTGAAAAATGTCATAAGTCACTTTTCAGTGCCGTTGTAATTTCAAAGCCACTAAATGAACCATTGTAAGTCGAGGACTATCTGCATTAGCTCTGCTTTCATTAATGCTACATATTTATGCACTTGAAAAATAAACTTAACAAATAATGCTTGTGAGTTTTGAATATTGTAGAACAAACTGCAGTTGTATATTTGGAAGTTTTGTTGTGTAAACTGAACCCACTTTTCCTTTTAGTTATTTTCCTCTCATCTCTGCCTTTCATGGGGAAATAGAGGTTTGGTAATTCAGAGCTTTTGTTGTAAATGATCCCCAGATGAGTATCTGACACTCAACATTCATAACTCTCTTTTCGCTGCAGCTGCAATAAACAAATTCAACAGGGAGCAATATTAGCAGTGCATTTTCAACTTGGAAATTACTGATCTTAGGAGTAAATGGCTGGTATATTCTTTTGGACTCTTGGAAAGACTTTGTTAAGATCAGCTAGGATGCAAAGGACACGTAACTAGTTCCACATATCTGAGGGGTCTTTTAAGTTCATTTTCTCACATTGTAGGACTTACTCCCATCCTCCAATGCTATGTTGCAAGCTGGTTTTGAAACCAAGTAAATTCAAAGGCAAACTATGGTACTTTGATGGAAAACAGACCTGGAAAAAAAATTATTTACTCATGTACACAGAGAGTTGCAGCCACAGATCCATTTTTCATAGTCCCTTGAGCTCTCCCAAGCTCATATTATTGTAAATTGGTGACAAGCCACTGAATAATGGTGTAATGAACACACATTTCTATTCCATCACTTTATAAGCAATTCCTTATTGGTTTGGAAATAAATATCACTCAAACAGAAGAAAAATATTTCTTTACTTCTCAAGAGTACAGGTGAATGTACCCTGTAAACTTGCATATGAAATACGTACTTTTCTTTAAAAGAAATTTCAGAATAACATATGAAGTCATGTGAATGCCTAGAATACATGGAATATGAGCAGAAGTAGAGCACACGGAAATAAATCTGTTAGAGTCAAGTTAATTCATTATCTAGGAATGAACGAATGAGTAAATAAATGAATGAATGGAATGAAAAGAAAAGAACCCCCCCCCCCCCAAAGAAGTCCTGTTCCAAAAAGTAACTCCTCCTGTATCTTCCATATATTGTACTGATCGTTTTGCTGGGTTTTATTCCAGAACATCTATTTTATGGGGCCAAAATAGCATTACTTAACAATGTATTTAGAACTTTTCCAGTGAATGATTTTGCATGATTTGGATATTGCAAAAACTGTGAAATTAGCTAAGAAGGGGATGAAAAAATGAATATGTTCCAGGTCAGATGCCATCCATTATTCCATAATAGAACTGCAGACAGATGTTTCCAATTACACATATATGATGTTAAGGTTCATTGGATATTATATTTCATATCTACTTGTCCTTTACTAATCATTTATAATCATGACATGAAACATTTATCATAGTATTGTGATTATTCAAGCCATTTCTATTAAAAAAATCAAATGGTAAAATGGAAGCTAGAGCCAGATAGTGAATAAATAAGTTACAGATATCATAATGACTGATTGATACGCTCTGATAGTCTGGTAGTCTTCAGCCCTGGAATATGAATAGGCAAAGACTTACTTTTTATAGAACTTAAGTTCTTTTGTATAAAAGCGATCTTTTATCATTCAAGTACATGGTCATTAAGCTGACTAGACCACTGACATCAGAAATATAGAGGCTGTCTTACCATGGGGGAAACCATTAGTGGGTTTTTACAGAGATGATGGTTTCACTGATCTCAGATGCCCATGCATTTGTGATTTTGAAACTCCCTCGGGATTTTTCAGGGGCGTTATCTGCTCAGGAGACCAAGACGCCACAGAATCCTTTCTTTGTAAATAACTTTCCATATGATTTCAACCCAGTGTGCTACTCAATTTGGCTCCAGGGCATTCAAATCCCATATCCTACTAGGATGTTCCAGGAAGAATCAATATAAAGTGGCAAGTAATTTTTAAAAATTAGGTAGTGAAGTATAAATGAATATAACCAATATTATATGTTGTGAATTCAATGTCGCCTCAGCTGTTAGATAAATGTCATATTCAGACTACTGTCTATTGTGTAAAGATATTATGTTCACATGTCTCTTGGCACTGATGTTACAAAGCATATTTCTCTGACAGCACCTGTTCCCTGTATGCCTATAGTTTCTTAAACAAAGTAATATATAATTTTGGCAACAGCAAAGCTAGTTGAAACATTGGATATAAAAATATATATTCAGGTTCACTCTGCTTGGATATAGACACATATGCCAGATTAATTCTGGAAGAATGTCGCCTAAAATTGGACTGTATTGCATTACAAAAAGAAACAAAATAAAATATGCATTTTGATTTGTTTTCTGTCTTTCAGGATATCAATGTATCTCCTCAAACATCACTGGCTTTAAGTTACAATTCAAAAGTGATTAAGGAGAAATATGAACAGCAGGCCACGGATCCTCAGGAGTATGAAAATGAACTGTCCATCCGGATAGGTAGAACAGCTTTACATTCAGGCAAGCATCCTGTCATATACCATCAAGTTAATATGATAGTAGTGTGCATATGTCTGTGTATGTGCATATACACATCCTACATGATGTGAAAAAAATTAAGAAAATGGATAGCTTCTTTCTTTGGTATTTTTCATCTTCTAAATTTCTACCTTAGATCCTAATATTTGCATGTCATATTAACTGTTTACAATGCTCTTTGCTTTGGAAGATGGCTATTCTATTTGAAATGACGAATCCTGATTCTTTGATATTCATGTAGGCTCTCTATGGTTTCAGTGAGTTCCTTGTCTGTTTCCTCTATGACTTCCTTCACTTGGCCTGTTTGGAAGTTACTTATCAGCTGGTGGAATAGTAAAGTATGCTAACTATCCACTGTTAAGCACAGGTAGAAGCTCTCTTCCTTAGTAATTCTTATCAAGATAATAGTTTCCCTGTTGCTGAGAGAGTTAGGGAGAATTATCCTAATTCTAATCCTAATCAGTAAGAACAGGCTTGGGTTCACTGGCCCTAGTGCTTTCATGTCCAGTCCATTGATTTTCCCTGCCCATTAAATAGCTCTTTGGCAAGCTGGGAAGGGCATAATACCCCAATTGGCATAAAGGTGGAGGCAAGAAATTCTTTCCTGGAATTCAAGCTGTTGAAAGCTGGGATACATTATTATTTTGTAGGTCTGGTTTGGGACCTCAGTGGGACCACTCCATTAGATTAAAAAAGCCAGGGACACAAAAATAAGAATATAAATTATTCTTTGGAGTCTTCCTGTAAACACAGAAAAATACATTGAAATGGTTTTAAAAATGCCTATTAAGGCCCTACAGGTATTTAGTGTTTATGGAAAACTTGATTTACAAATTTGAAGAATATACATTTAAAAGTGCAGAAAAAATGAAAGTTTTTAAAGTAAATCTAAAATTGTTCAGTAAACACTTATGAAAACTCAATGTTTGTGGAATGTTCATAGAAATGGATTGTCTTTATATCATAAAAATAGTACAAGTTAGTACACAATCTTTTGTATCACAAAAGATAGTACAATTAGTACACAATCTTTTGTATCACAAAAGATAGTACAAGTTAGATAGTACAAGTTAGATTCTGTTGTATGGTTCTGTATTTCCACTTTATATAAAACTTTCACATAGAATTCTAATATTCTACAATATTTTCCTTTCCGTATTTGCTGGACATCATACAGATACAAATGTATTGGCTTGTTTGTTTGCTAAGGTGAATATTGATTACAAGAACCAATTCTACATAGTAGTGGTAACTGTAAAGCTAGAAACCATCTTTTTAAAGAATTGCTTCAGTATTTTATTTTCACATAAGAATCCTTGGATTTTTTTAAAATGAGGAATCTCTTTTAAGGCAGTTTAAGTTGATTTAAGGGAGTGTTTATCCCATCACAAAGAATGATGAAAATAAAATAAAAGTTGATTGAATTGCAAATTGTGAGAATTTAGAAGACAGTTCAATCAACTTTCTTGGGTTTCCAGGAATTGAAGAGCATTTATTTTCCAAAAAGTAAACCAAAACCCATCTTCTTCCCTAGCATCTTTAGCATGTTGGTATTCATATCAGAGTTTTATTTGTCAATAAGTATTATGAAAATTATCGGAGGGAAATTTTCCCTACTATGGATTGTTTACTTTTCTCTTTGCCAGAGAAAAAAGATTGCTTTTCCCCCCTGTCTTGCATTTTAATATATGAAAAAGATACAAATTGGGACTGGTATGCTTTCTTTCTTCGGAGACATGTTGTGTTCTGGCCTGTAGGGATGAACACTATGCATAAATGCAATGTATCATGACTGTCAAGGAGGGCAAAGACAAAATGCTAACCATAAGTTTACTAAGTTTCTAGTATTTCTAAAAGTTGCAGTATGTTTATGTCTACTTTCTTTGAACACTCTTGGAATTCTAATAGCCCATAGTGGTCTGCAAATATTTGTCACAACATGGAAATGCAAATGAGCAAACACAATCCAATCCTTATGTTCTTGCATGTGAATGAAACAGTATTTAATTACTCCCAAGGGAATTTGTCAGAGTGCCAGGCTTCCAGGAATTCTCTAGAATTTTTAGATTTGACTTGGTCTAGGATGGCCACTGTTTCCAAATTGAAACTACGATTAAGTCTGTCCATGTGTTGTGAAATTAAGGAGTTTTCATCATGTCTTCTGACTGCTAGTTGGTATTCATAGAGGTGTTCTTCTAGTCTTCTGCCTGTTTGTTTTATGTAGTAGCTTTTGCTGTAGGCTTTTTATGGCAGTCTAACAAATTGGCCATCAATCGATAGACAGACAAACAATTTTGACATACTATGCAAAAGAGACAACCAACAAGCCAAAATAGGATCAAAAAGATCAAAACATCTTCCCACCAGCCATCAACACCCAGATGAGCATAGATTGACACCAAGATTAACACCAGACCAGCAATCAAGAAATAAATAATACCCTAGTCCAGGGGTAGGCAACCTTAACAGTAAACAGTCAAACCAAAGAACCACCAAGACCACTCCCATCAACACTGACAGGGAAGCCACTAGAATAGAAACTTAGAGCAAAACCCATTCCTTACTAGTACTGATGATGTTACCTAGTTTGGGTAATGAAATATCTGCAAGAAAACAACTAAGCTCAGAGAGCATCAAGGAGCCTCATATCAACCCTGAGCTACAAAATTCTCCTTTACGCACGAAAATAATACATGAAAGAACTAAAATATCAGTTTATAAGCCAATCGCCTACAAAATTCTATTCCGCCATTTTGCAGTTCTTGGCCACCCTAAGGTTGTCCACCTCTTCATTTTTGTGTGAATTGAGGAGGGGCTTGTCTGAGACATTTACTTGAGTCAATTTCTTGGTTGACTACCTTTGCCTTGGTAGTGGCTCTTCCTCCTGTCCTTCAAGGCCATTCCCTATGCCTTCCCCATCTCTGGCTGTGGGATTTTTCATGCATTCTTTTCATCAGTGGGGGATGTGAGGAAATCCATCTGTAGGTATCTAGCATTGTATCTCTATGGAGATGCAGAAATCTATCATTATGTGTCACAAAATCTGGAAAAGCATTATCCTATAAGACCAACAATGAAAAGAAATCATGGATTGGCTGGATCCCTGCCGCAAACTCAAAATCTAAAATATAATGCTCAGGATAGACTAAAAACAAACAAACAAACTGAGAAACGGCAAGGATGAATTGAACAAACATATTACATTCTTGAGTTTAGACTGCCTGATATTTCTTCACAAGGATGCTTGTGAAGTAGCATCCAATCAGGCCAGTAAAAATATAAATATATAAAATTTTCACCTTATGATGGATTCTGGTACGCACTGTAGAACTACTGGTGCAAGATTACATATTCCTATTTTGTCCTTATGAAAGGTTGGCAGGTAATCTTACTTGGTGCTGGAGCATAAAAGGCCATTGGGGGGAATATATTTCAGAGTTTGAAAATATTCTTTGGGCCTATAAAAGGCAGAATAATATAAGTTTCAACTGATAGGAAGTGCAAAGGGAGAAGATGTTTGTTTTGGAAAAACATGCATGCATGCATGCATGCATGCATGCATACATACATACATACATACATACATACATACATACATACATACATACACCTAGAACTAAGGAGAAACAACCTGCCTCCAAAGCTGTGAATGCTCCAACACTGGAAGTTTTTAAGAAGAGACTGGACAATATTTGTCTGAAATGGTATAGGGTTTCCTGCCTGAGGAGGGGGTTGGACTTGATGACCTCCAAGGTCCCTTCCAACTCTATTATTGTTATTGTTATTGTTATTGTTACCGTTACTGTTATTGTTATTAATACACCATTTGCATATTCAATAGCTAGTTAGCATGTAGTTTAACATACATGATTTAGCAATTTACATTTAAATAATCTTTGACTAACTTGGGCTTTATCAGAACATGCTCTTACTATACACTCCGTATCAGCAGGTTCTAGCTAGTGTTGAGATTTGTGGAGTTAACACTTTTGAGGTTAGCTAGCATTTCCCTCTGTGGTTGGGTGAGTAGCTTGCTTGATTTAAGAATGTATATTAAATAATATAGTATAATAACTAAAAGCCTAAAAAATGGCAACTTGTCCCCCAAAATGCAAGCCAAATAGAAACTCCAGGTGTTGCCTCAGCTATCTAGTTGCCACATCAGGAGGACTTTTTTTAGGGGGTCAGATGCTTCTACCTGGGTGGAATATGACATTTTCTCTGGGTTAAGTTTTCCAAATGAAAGGAGGCATTTATAGAGGATGATCCCCTATTTCAAGGTACATAGCTTAGAATGTTGTGAATGGTGCTCCGCCACCAAGGATGACTGAGATGAAGTGAGACGCTAAACAGTACTGAATGCTGTAAAATGAGACTTTTTTTATTTTGGGGGGGTTTTTTGGTATTGGGTACCCTCCCCCATTGTTTCTGGGTGGATTACAAAATCTTTTCTGTCTGATTTATGGAGGGAATCTTCTATTGTATTAGACGTATAAATTAATGATAGGTCTACTGGATAAATACCCACGAAGACAAATACAAAATTCACCTGCAGGTGTATACTGTATATATTGTATCCTGTATGAGAACAGTGCAGTCAGGTGTGCCAGAAGATAATAGATTCCACCTCCATGTAGACATCTTATTATTGAGATAATCTTTTGAGCTCCCAAGGTCCATATTACCTAGCTGTGGAAATTCTTATGAACTGAGTGATATACCCATTACCAATTAAATAAACAACAAATTGACTTCTACTCAGAAAAGTGTTAGAGATGATGATGGAGGACTGGTCTTGCTGACAAGATAGAAGGTATTCAACTGTTAGTATTGTAAACATGAGGAAATTATGTAAGACAGCGGTGCTGAAATATTTAAATGTCATAAATCACCTAGACAGCTGGTTTCAGTGTTGAGTATGAAAACCCTGGGACAGTAGAAGAGCCTGTACTGTTCCTTGTAAGTATTTAATGCTGCCCTTGAGCGCTGTATATCCATGAATGACTAGTTTAATGAGGCATTTAAGCATTCAATCCACACACATATAGCAGAGTATGTGTATCTGTGATATATGTTTATTGAAAATACATTTATATTATACATGACTATACTCTATCTTAAACATATGAGGTTGTCTACTTTTAAATTTTGATAGGATGTTCTTTTTCAGGACTTGAATTCTTCTATGTATAGTCCCCCCCCCCAAAAAAAAATAATATCTGGATTTATTTGGCAATATAGTAGAAGCAACAATTCTCTCTGAGTTGGAGTCTGATTGGCCAAATCTTATGGAGTTGACTGAGGCATGATCTTGTGGTGTTAAATGGAAGGAATTTGATCCTGTTAATCCTAAGAAAGTATACAGGGTTCTCAACTCTGGAGCTATATATGGCCACTTATGTCTTACATCCATTTATATATTTTTATATCGCCTCCTTATTATTTTTACAAATAACTCAAAGTGGCAAACATATCCAACACATCTTTCTCTTCCTATTCCCCCCCAACAATAACACTGTGAGGTGAATTAGGCTGAGACAGTGACTGGCCCAAGATCACTTAGCTGGCTTTCGTGGCTAAAGTGGGAGTTGAATTCATGGTCTCCTGTTTTCTAGCCTGGTGCCTTAAGTGCTATACCAAACTGGCCCTCAACTAGCCCTCCTTGGTTGGTTAAGGCTCCAGGGAGGATATGTGTGGGTGGATCCATGCAGTAATAC